TCGTGGAAACGACAGAACATGACCTCAAAAACGACCGGCACCGTGATCAAAGAGATGAACGAACCCGTTGATGAAATTATGTAAGCGCTCACTCCTCCCCCCCTTTTTACCTGATGGATCGATAAAGGTGCTAAAGGCGTAGCGACGTTTTTATTAGCGGCAGTTTGTACCAGAAATTCTTTGTAATCAGTTCATGAATGCGGATTGGTCCTTTAGGAAGAACAAAAGATCTGCAACTGTGTGAATAGACCAATCCGCTTTGAGGAAACCGTTGAAGAAAACGGGGTCGAAGGTGGAGAAAAGTCATTCTTGGCAGCTGTTGCTTGTATATATACTCGCTTTTAATAAAAGCTTTTTGCCCTGATTCCGTGTGGCCTCTCGCAAGTCCGACCCGCCTACAGTGTTGGCTCGAGTGCTGAAGCATGTATATTTACACATTACTTATCCAAGACCAGATTTCACAACGTACTGTTATGTTCCCTTGCACTTCGTTGCCTTGAAGAAGAGAGATGGAGAAATTCAGCCACGGACAGCTGTAGGTCATTTGAACATGTGGCAATGTACATAACATGCTCCACTGGAGCAATTTTTGGCTCATCATACCAGTATTTGGAGGGCCATAACTCTTTATATTGTAACGCACGAATATTGAAGATTTATTTTTCTTACCCAGGAATATGTCAAAAGGAACATAGCTACCTCAAGACTAGAGTTCACGATGCATGACATAGCCCTAAACGGAGAGGAACTTCAGCAGTCTAAGGCTAAATGCCGGCTAAGTAGCTGCAGTGCAAGATGCACCTTGCTGCATTTTGCACACTCCGAGATGTTAAGCCATACCTGAATGTTTATGCGATAGCATACGAAGAGCAACATCGCTTAAAACATTTGCGCGCGATGAGCATAGGATTATTTAAGACCATAAACGATTCCCTGCCTGTGCAGAAGCAAAGTGGCATTGGCCTTCTTATTCGACACTTAACTAACTGAAAGTAATCTGGTCTTTCAGGAGTCATCGATCAATGGTCCTCAAAGCTCATATTTCTAACACTTCTACTAGTGAATCAAACAGGCATAACCCCTGTTACATTTCTGATATATTTGACCATAATTGTATAGTTCATTGCTTAAAACTGTTTTTACAGCAGTGTTTATGCATATTGTACAGTACCTGGTGCTGACACATGATGACAATGTCTCCAAATTTTATGACACCGTCTTTCCTTTTTCAAATGTTTATACTCAGACCGCCAGAAAGATATGCACCTTCGATATCACAGCCCAAACTTTACACAATTTCGATATTTCTTATCCTTTAAATTCAAGCATAGTATTCCAGCAATGGAGTAGTCTCGTCGGTTTCAACGATTTCGTCAGTCTGCTAAGAAACTTTCTATCCTCTGTCTTGATGATTTGTCTACGTTATTTCTTCTGAGTCTTCTGCTAGTTGGACTTATTCAATTTCAATTTGTTTTGCGAGTTTAACGAGTTCCTCATTTTCACATATTCGTGGAATGGTAAATGCTTCATGACATTTAGACTTGACTTCTTAGAAGCCAACATCTCTAGCCAGCTTCATGACTTCCAGCAAAAAGTTGCCTTATTTTTTCAGTGAATCGTTCTATCGACCAACGACCCTACATCGTCGCCAGACTTTACACAATTTGGACAATCCGGATCCTTGGAATTCAAACCCAGTTTTCTTGTAACGAGAGCTTTTTAATGATTTTTTCAGCCATCCGCTTGCTTATCCCAACAAATATTTCAGGGTATCTAGGAGAAAACGGGCGGTGCAGCATTTCATGATTTGTGTTCAGTGAAGAGATGCGCGAAAATTACGCGTGATGACCGACTCTCAAGGACATGTACTCCCATACCGAGACGATCATCTAACGAAGTGGTTCCATGCAGTTCTCTAACATCATTGGTTGAAGTTTGTCTACAAAATCGAGCACTAATCAGAATAAATCATAAGGCAGATGAAAATAAATAAAATAAATCAGAATGAATCAATAAATATTTTTTTCGTTTTGGAGGCTTACAACAAATAAAATTAATACTGCAGGAGCGGCATACGAGCAGATCACTTCTCCAAGAAATTTGCGTACACACAGTGCTATATGTTGTATTGTTTTGTTCTCTAAAGCTGCGCTATTTTCTTTGCAAATGAGGTTGCAGGAGATTTTACTCCTTATATGTAACCGCATGAACATAAAATTATGTTGGCAAGCCGAAGTTTGTCAAATGACGCATAAAACTTCTGAGACAATATTTCAATCTCTTCGATACTAGATACGAATTACTGGCTCTTGGTGCGACGTTCTTGATGAAAGGCAGGTTGTGTTCTATCTCAAAAACTGGTGCGAGATACATCTGGCATTGCATAGGTTAAAACACCATTTAGATGCATCTGCTGAAGTTTCCTTGCAGCCCGCCCACATTTCTACTTCAACTCCCCCCACCTGGTAAATATGAGTAAGTGAGCGGTGCAGTATGCGCCATGAATTGTATTTATGAAAAGAGATGCTGATAATGATAATTTTGGTCATATTTCATTGTTACCGGTCAACTGCGAACGCAGCAAGAATATTCTAACGGGCGGTTCAATGCAACAGTGTGCAGCTATTGTTTTGAAGTTTGTCTACAAAACTGAGCACTGCGTCAAACAAGTCAATAAATATTATTTTCGTATTATAGTTTTGGCAATGGATGAAATTTATGTGGCAGGACGGAGGCTTATAAATAGCCCACTTTTCCATATATTCTTTGCACATGCACTATGCTTACATGTTATGCCTGACAGCTGTTTGATGTTCTCTTGAAAAACGTCTACGGCTCCCACATCAGAAGTTCATGGGCTGATGGAAACCATTTACGCTCAATTACTTTGACAAAATGATCAGCTTTTATTCTTAATTAAGGTTACCTGTACTCAGTAGAGAAATTCAGCACGGTCCCGACAATTTACCATCATTATGCTTCCAAGCCAATGCCACTGTGAGCAGTTCAGTCGTTTTTCTTGTGTCTTCATGAGGACAACTATCTGCATACTGTACACTCATCTGGTTGAAACCAGACATGGGCAGATTTTTGTGGAAAGGGCTGCTCTTTTCTCACTCCAAATGTTGGAAAGGTTTACAAGACCACTTGAAGCTAGGATG